GAAAACATTTTTTGTTTGTAATAAATGTGGTGTGGTGAAGAAAAAAAAAATAAATATAAGAAAAAAAACACTTGTGGCAACTTCTAATATGATAATTAAAATTAAATGTTAAATGGTGTAAAAATGTTTGCACGTTTTTTAAGCGTTTCATTTTGTTTTTGTTTTGTTTTTGTATAATCTCTTATTAGTGTTGTTACATTTTTTGTTCTTCTTGTGTTTTTTTAAAGTTCAAGCTATAATTTTTTTTTTCTTCAATATTTTTTTTACTTTCTTTAAAAAGTTTTTTATTCAATGATTCGGAATTAATTTTTAATATAAAGTAAAGTATTTTAAAAATTTTTTAAAAATTTGCTCTTTATAACAATTTTTAATTATAAATGAGTATTCAATGGGGGCATAGGGATTTTTACTGCATTATTTAGTGTTACTAATAATACTAATTCCTATTTTGACTACATTAACGCTGGTATTCTAATTGATTAATAAACATAGAATACCGGTTTATTAATTCGACAAAGAGTATTATGTAAAGGGTAGATACGAAAATTTCTATAAACTCAATGACTAAACTGTTTCAGAATAATTTTATTTTAGAACTAATAAAATTAGGTATAATGGTTCGATTATATGTATAAGAAAAATCATAACACTGAAAATCATTATAAATACATTTCTTTAACGTAAAAATCGTTTAATCCAAAGAATTCAAAATGACAATATTCAAATTAAGATTCGATAATTGATATTTAAGGATACGTATATTATATTGTAGCCAATAGTTCAATTAATTTGTTCTTAAGAAACTTCATTTCAAACATATCTGTTTTAAGTATAAATTATCATAAAAATAATTTCCTTAAGAAACATTGAAAAATCTCAAACACTACTTGCTTTAATTGCTTTGAATTAATCACAAAAAGAAGAAAAAATTGCATAAGCTAAATTAATTTCAATTCTTCAGTAGAAGCGGGGAATAACAACAATCAATTCAAGCGTACTACCATACAGGGTATCGTAAAGACTCTACTTACCTATGCAAAGCTTAATATACACCACCAGAGAAGATAATATTTTAGGTTACTAAAAAATATCTAGAAACTGACCATATAGAATGAAGTACATAATGAACAATGAACAGATTGATAATTATGATTATCAGTAAAGTAAGTATAGAAAAAACACAAATTTTGAATTTGTGAGTAGCACATTTGATCTAAAATCACTTTAATTAATTATAATTGTACTTTTACATAATAATAATAGCAAAATTTTTGAATTGTTCCGGCTTTATGAAACATTTTTTAATTTTATTGAAATTTTATTTAGAAAATTTCGGAAATATCATAAATTAAAAGTTGGAACAAATAACTATCCAATATTCGAAATTTATAAAATATGACAATGCAAAATAAGGAAATTCAAAACACGTTTTATTAACATACTTCTTCACAAAAAAAAAAAAAAATACATAAGATAAAACGATAATCTATAACTAATCTAGTTTTTCTAAGTATAATTTAAGTGAGTGTTTAATTAAAAATTTTAATAAATTAAAATTGAATTCCCTTTTCCATCATCTTTGAATTTCAATAAATTAATAAGCTTATAAAGTGTTGTTGTATACATGATTACGATATTAATGAAAATAATTAATTATGGAAAATTTATTGTTTTTAGTTACTTTTATTTTTTTTGTAAATTCATTAAGTGTAATTATTTTCTCATAATTCTGATAGAGAAAGAATATAACTATAATTAACATTAATTTTTTTTATTTTTTTGCCTTCTTTTTTACAATTTACTTATTAATTATCGTTTATAATAATAATTTTTTTTTTATTTGTTGGATTATTATTCTATTGTAATTAATATTATATTAAAAGAACATCAAATATTAGAAATACTATAAGTGTTATAGAGTAATTTCAAACATTATTAATAAGTACATCAAAATTCTATGAATTATACTCGCCATAGCTTTATTTTCATATAGAATTTCAATAATTACATTTAAATAATAAAAGTACTTATAGTTAATCGTATTTAACATTAATAACATACGAGTATATACAATAAGTAATTATAATTATTTTAAATAAATTATACTGAGTTAATGAATTAATCAACAATATAATATTTTAAATAGAAAAATATTCAAAACATATTAAGTAAAATACAAAATTATAAAATAAATCACATAAGTAATTTATATATATATATACACACAAAAATCATGTATAAATGTATATTATATAATTTTAATTTAGTAAGCATATAAATTCATAAATTTCTATATGAAATTGAAAAATTCTTTCGTCTATAGAAGGTAACAAGCGTAAGCAAATTAAGAAACTAATTAAAAAATAATTAAATATGGAAAATTTCATATAATCATAATAGCATATATAGTTAAGTAATAAGAATATTATTATTTAAATATATAAGTATACGCATATTTTATGTATAATTAAATAATTTTAATTAAGATTCAAGTAAAATTATTTAATTAACATGATAGTTAACTATTTTACAAAAATTAGATTTATAATATACTTACGTATACATAAAATATGAATAAACATTAAAAGATGAATAATATCGAGTTATAAAAGAAATAATAATAATTACTTATATACCATTATTAAAATAGATAACTTTAATTTAATTACATTATAAAGTAAAAAAAATACTTAGTTAAAAATGACAAATAAATTTTATATTTTTTTAATTAGAAAAAATACTATTTATATAAGTATATTTACTCATGATATACATTATAAACATTACTTATACTAATTATATTTAATTACTTTAAAGGGACGTACTATAAGTAAGTATATACATATATAAGTAAGTAAATTTTAATAATTAAAGTATAATTTATTATGTTATACACGGTAATTATAAATACTTAGTAAAGTTTTGTTTTAATTATTTATGGAATTACTTAAGAATTTTATATTTAATTAAAACAAAGTTAAAAAGCTTTTTTGTCTTTTCTATATATAAAATGTAAAATTTTACTTTGTCAATACTTAATTTTGTATATTACTTATTAATATTTAATTCAAAAAAATTGGTATATAACAATAAACATATACATATGTATTATGTACAAATTAAATAGTATACTAAGTAATTGTTTTAATTGTTTAAGTATAATAAATAAATTAATAAAATGACAAAAAAAAAATTAAATTGATTTTTGTAGGTGTTTTCGTGTTATTTTCCGACTTTTATTTATAAATTAATAATTTATAGTAAAGATTTTAATACTTAATTGAATTTGTAATTAATTACTTATGTAACGTAATTATATGCATACTCAATAATTATAATATCAACACAGAGTTGGTAAGGAAGTAATATAATTTATTTATTTTTTTTATTCAAAAATATTATAGAATAATAAATAATAAATGTATTTCTTAAAAAAATTATCTTAAAATTAGTTGTTATTTTTTTTTAAAAACACAGAATATACTGAAACAATAAGTATAAATACTTAAGTATATCGTAAGTAATTATAAGCTACTTATAATTTCATACTTGAATGTATTTTTTAATTAGAATAATAGATTTTTGAGTACACATAAGTAATTATTAAAATCTGAAGATTTTTAAGAATATTTAAATAAAATTATTTTTATAAAATATTTAAAAATAGTGTATAAGTACTATTATTTATTAAGTATTTTTTTATTCTTAATATCATTTTTTAAGAATTTAAGGCACATCTTTTGAAATTATTAAAATATAATATTGGAATTTATTTCAACTAAAATTGAAAGTGTAATGCTTTTAAAATTAGGGAATAAAAACCCACAATTTGTGTTTTTATTTAAAAAAAATGTTAAAGGGTCTTAGGAAATATTTCTCTTTGTTATATTTAATAATAAAATTTACAAAAGACAAAAATATAAAATTTAACATAAAAATTAATTTATTCTACAATTATTAACGATAATGCAATTTTTATATCCGTAAGTGCAATTTTGCCAACAAAATTTCTTTTTTATGAATTTCTTATTTTTTATAACCTTTGATATACTTACTTTTATGACCATACAATTTATTAATTATGCAACATATCAATTATAATGCTAAAAATATTCACTACACAATTTTTTACATGTTATTAATTAAAAATCAATATTAAAAATTAATAATAAGAAATTGTACTACCATATACGAAAACTACGACATATTAATTTTAAACAGCTTAAACCTAAAATTCTCAAATTTTATAAAATTCATATAAAATTCATAAGAACGTATAATAAATTCAATTAATTAAAAAGTCTCGAGTACATTCTATATGGTTTTGAAATTAAAAAGAAAAAACAAGGATTCTAATTTAAAGAAAATAATTAAATTGATTACAGAAATTTTCAAAATTTAAATATATATTTATATATTTTTTTTATATTAGACCTTTAGCCAAGTGAAATATCTCAGTATTCCTAAGCATATTCTCAAAATTATGTTATTTTTACAAAAAGTTTGAAAAATAATTTTAAAATATAATTTTTACACTATAAAGCCGGGTTCTATTTCTTTTGTTTTTTACACCAAAAAGGAAATATTTTTAATTTAAAAAAATTATTTTAATAAAAACAGTATAACAGTTTAAGAAAATTGTTAATGAAAACCATCATTATGTTATATTTTATTGTTATAATCATTAATTTCAGTCCAAGTTTAAAATTGCAATATTTAAAAATTAAAATTGTTAATTACTTTAAGTAGTTCTAAAACATTAAAATTAATAAAAAAAAACAATTCTGATCCAAAGTTTATGAAAAATTATTAAAATTTTTTATAAAATATATTTTTTTCAATTTTCTTATATTTTTATAATTTGTATTGTTATTTTATTAAAAAACATAAAAATTAATATAAGTAAATTAATTAAGGTTTTTTATTATCTTTTATTTATTAATAATAATGACTGAACAATTAATTTAATAAAGAAAAAATTATTAATAATTCACAATTACTTATTTTGCCCGCAAAATTTAAACTAGATATTTTCTTTAAAGTATTGTTTTTTAAGCACTAATACATGAATTTTTATAATTAAAATTAATTTTTATATATATTTAAAATTTAAATTAAAACTTGAAACCATTTATTTTTTAAGTTTAAAATTAATTTATTTTATTTCATTAATTTATTGTTTAAAAATTAATATGTTAATAAATAATCACTAAAATTAAGTTTTCAAAATTTAATTAAAATAAAACTATAACACAATTTCTCTTTTTACTTTTAATTTATTTAAAAATTATTAATTTTGAATTTTTTATTTATGATTAAGTCCAGTACACTTTTTTTTTTGTTTTTTTATGACAAAATTACATCACTTATTTTTTTAATTTAGTATAATAAAATTTTTATTATTAATTATTTTTCATTAATAATTAACAATTCAATAATTTTTTTTTCTTCTTTTTTTTTGTTTTGAATATTTTATATTTTTGAATTAAAAAATAATTATAATTTTTTATTTATTTAAAAAAATTAGCATTGTCTTTTATAAATTTTTTATGCCATAATTTTGCTATTTTATTTTTTTCTTTTCAGTTGTATTTTAATTTTAATATAATTTTTTTTTTAATTAATTAATTAGAAGAAACAAAAAAACCAAACCCCTCAATAATGGAATTGTAATAATAAAGATAAAACAAAACAACCGACATCTGTCTTATTACAATTGGCGTTGTTAACTGACTGATAGACATTCGAACATTTTTTTAATTTTTCCTACATAACACACATTCATTATACATTACATATAATAATAAGAAATAAAAAAAAAAACACATAATATACGGAACAACCACATATAGAACAGTACAAAATACAGCACATCAAATAGCACGTTTTTATATTTTTATTATATTCTCTTGTTTTTATTAATTTTCTTTCTTTATATTATGTTCTTATTATTATCATTATTATTATTATTATTATTATTTTTATATAAAATTGATTCATTCTTTATGCATACTTTATTAATTTATTATATATAACTGTTTATACATTTACACATAGATAATAAATATTATATTTATTATAATATTATATTTTTTTAATGTATATGTATATGTTTGCATTTTACACAAATACTAGCATGTACTAATTAAAAAACAAAAATTAAAAGTAAAAAATAAATAAATAATTTTTATAAAATGCAAAAAAAAAAAAAAAGAAATGAGAGGGCGCCAATATTATTTTAGCTTATAAATTTTCGTTCGTGAAAAACAAATTTACGAAAGAAAAATAACAGCAACATTGTGTTATAAATTACTATACTACTTAGTTAACATTAACATAACATTTTTTTTTTGGTTTTTATTATAATTTCATATGCGTTTGTATAAATGTTATAGAGAAGGAAAAAAATTAAATTAAATACTCGTATAACATTATGTATATCGGTTTGACATTTAAGAAGATAGGCATTGTAAGAATAGGTAGAGAGGACATTTTCTATGTGTGTATAAATATGTATATAATTTTGCGAGAGAGCATTAAATTGTGTATTTTGTACTCTTTTTATCCTTCGTTTTTTACTCTCTTTCTTTAAAGAATCGAATGACTGCCTCTCAAATTCTTATTATGTTTTTTTTTAATACATATTTGTATTATTGCAATGCAATTGTTGTAGCTTAACATAATTTTTTTTTTGTTTTTATTTTGTTTTATTGCATTGCATTTTGTTTTATTTTTACTTAATAAGTATTGTGAAATTTTAATATCAACATGCGTTCATTTAATTTTGTAGATAGTCGAATGTATTCTCACCAACACATTAATATGAAAATGTGTAACTGTTATAATTTTGTACACAAATGTAAATTTTTGTTGTGATATTTTATCTTTTACTTATTGCTATTAAAATTTTTTAATTAATAAAAAAGAAATTATAGTGATTAGAGGGAGAATGTTGAAGAAAAAGAAAGAGAGAGAAAAAGGTGTCAATATTTCGTGCTGTTTAATATATTGTAATTGTTATATTTTATTGTTATAATTTCACATATGTATGAATAGATTATTTATATGTATATATACATATGTACATAAATAGATCATTTAATTATATTTACGATGTGTATTGCAATATATGAGTACGTTGTAATTTGAATTTTTATTTTAACTTGTTTTTAATTTTATTTGTTCTTTGTTCAATTATTTTTTGTAATTTTTGTTTTTCATATCATTTAAATTTAATTAATTTTACTTAAAAATTGTTTTTACATATTTCATTTCTATTTGTATATATATATCGTATGTGTGAATGTATGCATGTAACATTAAAATTTTAACGGTATATTAAGCAATGTTTGTGAATTTACAATTTTGTTTTTATTAATTTTTAATTTAAGTTAAAAATTAATTTCATGTTCATAGTGTGTATGTATGTATGTGCAACGAAATTTAGTATTAGGCAATGCAACTGTGTTTACTCAATATTCATATTTCAATACCTTAAAGAATTAACCAAAGCTATTTTCAAAATATTTGAGTTTCGAAAGTCGATTTTATAATTAATTGAATATTAATTAGTTATCAATTCTAATTAAATTTTATAAAAATATTTTTAAAAATATTTGTGCATAACTTTTGAAAAATGTATAAAACAATATTTATTTCACCTTGCAAAAAACGGGAGTATTACAGTATTTTAAATCCGAAAAAATGCTTTTGTAGCCTTTGTATTAAAAAATTGAGTTGTGCGTTTTTTTTCTATTTTGCACTCAAAGTACATACATATTATATAACACTTTATATGCTACTCCCAGAGTTGAAGAGCCTTATTAATGGAACGTTGTTGTTTATCAAAGAGATTTTATATAAGATTCAAAACTCTTTATATAAGATTCGAATTTAATCAAGATTAGCAAAGATTTAATACATTTTCTAAAAATATAAACCTATCGAGCGGAATAAATGTGCGTAATTAAGTTTCTTAATTTACTGCTTTGCATTAAACTATTATATGAAATATTTAAAGCATGTGTTTTGAAAATGTACATACATAATTTTAAGCGGTAAATAGCGATTACAATTTTCTCACTCCTCTACATATGCAATATTTCAATAAACTTCATATTTTACTTTTAATCTAGTATTAAATCTTGGCTAAACCAAATTAAATACTATAGCTGTTGTAATTAATGTAACACTTGCCTTAAATTCTATTGCTATACGTTCATAGCTTTTACATCATAAAAATCTGGATTCGAATTTTAATTGATCCTCTAGATTCGAATGCATGTGTTGCTTTTAACTAGTTTTTTCAAAAAAGTATTTCATTATAATGCAAGATTAATTTATCGGCCACTTCAACACGAACAGTTTTTCCTGCAGACCGAAGTACAAATTCTTTAAAAAATACATGGTAATTTTATTATGTCTACTTATATGTATACAGATTAAACTAACACATATCAAAAATAAATTTATATCAAAGAAAAAAAAAATTTATTGTAGCAGTAATTAATTGTAAGTTTTAGTTTGAATATGAGCTAGAAAATTAAAAATAAAACGAAATAATAATTGCTACCATAAAACTATAAATCTTCAAGTATATATCATTAGAGTTAAATTTCATACAAGAAAAATTACAATTCAACAACAACAACAACAAAATATTGCAAAATTATAAAACTTAAAATTCAACTTTCTCTAAAATATAAGGAACAAGCATATGTGCTGCACATATACAATTTTTTTTTTTTATTTTTAAGGAGAAATTATAATTTATTAGAAAAAGAAAATAAAAACCATTTAATAACAATTTTTTTTTATTATAAAATTTTTTACATTTAATTCTTATCATGCGTCTAGTATCGTCATTGGTTCACACACTGCAATGAAAATAAAATCAAAAAGGAAAATTAAAGTTAAGGAAAAAACAAAATACAAAATTTTCATCACTTTTAATTTAGTGATTTTCCTTTGTAAATGTTTAGTGTTCTCTATAATTATATATACAAATATATATGTATATGTACATATTTTGAAAAGAACAAAAAAAAAATTAATGCACATTCTTCTCATTTTTTCTAGCTTTATGATGACAACAAAAAATAGTTCATAAACAAGTAAAAAAATTTCATATCGAAAAAAAAAAAATTGCACGCGGTCGAATTCTCATTTTATTATTATATTTTGTTTGATTTTTTGCAAGAGAAATATGCAATATGCATTTATACTCAATTCAACAACAAAATCTAATAAGAATAAAGAAAAAAGAGAATAAAGAGGAGAGAAAGAGAAAGACCGTTGAACTAAATAGTTTCAAAAATTTTACTCAAAATTCGAAGAAAATGTGGATTGAGAAAACATAAAATTGAGAAAATATTTTAATATGAGAAATGACAATGAAGAATATAAGATCAAATTGAGTATCTCCTTCAAATTATTTTCATTCTCACATTTTATTTAAGTGAAAGATTAACAAAGTCATAAGATTAACATTCTTAAATTTATGATTCTGTAAGAAATTTTCACTCACATATTTTATTTAAATAAATATAACTTTGAATATAATATAAAGTTTCTTAATATTTTAATTTAAATTGAAAATTTTATAATTTATTTTAATTACTTATATAATTTATATAAATATTTTCATAATTATTTTCATATTGTTATATTTCTATATAATAATTTTCTGCTGAACTATATTTGTTTTAAGTGAACCACTGTTATTTTTAAAATATAGCATTTACTCAATTAATTTGTAAGCCCACTGCAATGAAATACAATGCAATGCACAAATGAAACATCCTTCTAAATATAATACTCAACAATGTATGCATATAACAAACACACAATAAAATTTAACATTTTCTCTCTCTTTTTATTTTGAAAAAACTTCTCTTCATTTATTTTTTATTTTTCTACTTCTCATAAAAGTAATCATATATAAAACATGTTTTCTCTCATTTTTCTTCTTCGCATGTTTTTTATTTTCTTTCTCATTTTAAGAATTTATAACAGTATGTAGATAAAAAATAAAAATTAATTATTATATTAAAATTTTCATTTTTATAATTATTTTTTATGGAAAAAAAAACGAAGCAAAAAAAAATATGTAAAGTAAAAAATAATGTTTTAAAAAATTTTATACTTATTTTTTTCTTCTTTCTTTCATATTTTATTGAATTGCAGGCATCGCATACATACATCCTTACGTATATAATTATAAAACATACGTTCATATAAATTTTTATTGTATTTTATAATTATTTTATTATAATATTTTTGTAAAGGCATTTTCTTTTAACTGGATCTGCGCGAAAATTAACTACAGTATACACTTATACCACTGCAAATACACACCCGCAAGCAAATTTTCTTTTCTATTTTTCTTACATTCATTATAGAAATTGTTGTTGCTGTTATCATTACTGTGCTTGTTATACACATTTTTATTGTTAACATAACAGTATAGAAGAAGAGGAGTGATTTTTTTTTCTCATTTCTTTTTCCTTTTCTTTTAATTCTTTATTTGATTTCTTTTTTAAAAATTAGAAGAAGTAAAAAAAGAAATTACAAAAAAAAAAATACAAAAATGATAAATAAAAACAAAATCTTATAAAATAATATAAAATATATAAAAAAAAAATTTACTTTAATAATAAACAAAATAACAATAAAGATGAAAATAAATAAAAAAGTATGTGCATACTCACCTGGATTTTTGCAAAA